TCGGCTCAGGTCATGATCCCAGAGTCCTGGGATCGAGCCCCACATCGGGCTCTCTGCTCAGCGGGGAGCCTGCTTCCCTTCCTCTCTCTCTGCCTCTCTCTCTGCCTACTTGTGATCTCTCTCTCTCTCTCTGTCAAATAAATAAACACAATCTTTAAAAAAAAAAAAAACTTACTTACATAAAAGCACACTCATTCTGGTATATAGTTCCATGAGTTTTGACAAATGCCTAGTCATGTAGCTGCCACTACAATTAGAATGCAGGACAATTCTGTTACCCCAAATCATTCCGTCATTCTGGCCTTTTGCAGTCAACCTTTCCCCCATCTGGAATCCCAGGGAACTATTAATCTGCTCTTTGCCCCTATACTTTTACCTTTTACAGAATGTTGTATAAATGGAGTCATTTAATATGTATCCTTACTTAATATTCTGTATTTGAAAAATATCGATAATGTGGTATATATCGAGAGTTTGTTCTTTCTTGTTGCTGAGTAGTACTCTATTTCATGGGTGTAGCAGTTTGTTTATCTCTTCATCTGCTGAAGATCATGCATCCAGATGGCCTCCAGTTCTGGCGATTAATATAAAGCTGCTGTAAATTTTTGCACGCTGGAGTAAGATTATTAGGTCATTTGTCAAATGTATGTTAACTTTATAAGAAACTGTCCAACTGTTTTCTAAATGGCTGATAATTTATATTCCTACCTGCAACAGATAAGATTTTCAGTTGCTCTGCATCCTCACCAAGACTTGGAATTGTCAGTTGTTTTTTGATGTTTTTATTTTAGATTTTTTTTTTCTTTTTAGGAGGGGGAGGGGGCTAGGAAAGAGGGAGAAAGAGAATCTTAAGGGAGTTCCATGCCCAGGGCAGAGCCCGACACCAGGCTCAATTCACAGCCCTGAGATCATGACCTGAGCTGAAATCAAGAGTCGAGTGCTTAACTGACGGAGCCACCCAGATGCCCCTTATGTTAGCTTTTCTAATGGGTGTGTTATAGGATCTTATTGTAGTTTTTAATTTGATTTTCCATGATGACTGATGATGTTTTGCATCATGTCATGTGCCTGTTTATCATTTGCATTTCTTCATCGGTTAAGTTTTCACATTTTTGGCTATTTTTTATGGGGTTGTTTGTTGAGTTTTGAGAATTCTTTATACATTTATATATTCTGAATATCTATCCATTGTCAGATACGCGATGGCAAACATTTTCTCCCAGTCTGTGGTTTGTCTTTTTACTCTTTTTACTCTCCTAATAGAGTTTTCCATGGAGCATAAGTTTTGAATTTTGTTGAGGTCCAGTTTATCAGTATTTTGTTTTGTTATTTGTGTTTGTCGGCTTATATCAAAGTCTTTGCCCAACTCAAACTCACAGAGAATTTCTTATGTTTTCTTCTCATAGTTTTAGTTTTACATTTATATTGGAGTCTATGTAATTGAATTAATTTTTGTGTAAGGTATAAAGTATGGGTGAGGTTCTTACATATTTATTTACTTATGGATGTTCCTGTTGATCTGGACTATTTGTTAAAAAAATTATGCTCTCTCTAATCTATTGCCTTTGCTTCCTTGTAAGAAATCATTGAGCATATTTGTGTGGGTTTGTTTTTAGATTCTTTTATTGTTAGATATAGCTTAATAGTGAGTGTTGAAATCAAATAGAGTCCTCCAACTTTGCTCTTTTCTTTCAAAACTGTTTTGTCTAATCTCATTTATTTTTGCTTTTAACATAAATTTAACATAAATTTTACAATCAGCTACTGCATATTTAAAAAAATTCTGCTTGTATATTGATTAAGATTCAATTTAATCTATAGATCAGTTTGGGGAGATTGACATCTTAACAATATTTTTCAGATCCAGGAACATGATATATCTCTCCATTTATTTGCTTTGGGCTTTGTGTATTATGTGTTTAATGAGATAAAATAGGGAGAAAAAATAAAACAAACAATAAACTCAGCAATGGAAAGGTCTTTCTTCACATTTTGATTCCCTCTCCAATCTACATACTATTCTTACTTTGCATAGCCTTAGGTAGGTTTTTTTCCTTTTTTCTTTTCTTTTCTTTTTTTTCTTAATTATTTCCAGGATATTTAATTGTAATTAGTGAGAGAGATAGTCTGTAGTGGGCTTACTGCATCTTTTTCAACATTCAATGTCAATTGGTTTTAGTTATGATTATCTAAGTTCTTCTTGCATGGTGATGCCCTAGATTGAGAAGCATCCAGAAGTGGTTTATTTGTTTCTGTTTTTGCTTTTCCAGTTGAATAAACCAATTGTGAAACAACTTTCAAAAGGTGGGGTTGTTAAACGTAAGAGATACACTTTTTTATGTGAATGGTCAAAGGATTTATTTTGGGTGGATAGAGGCATGGGGGAGAGGATGGAACACAGAACCACTCTTTCTTCTTAAGTTCAATAATATTTATTTAGACTCAGGAGTTTCTTTTACTCTTGACAGTGTCATTGATGAGTCCTTTAAAAATAAATAAAGTGATTGCAATGTGGGAGGGTTGGGAAGTAGGAAAGGAATAAATGAAACAGGATGGGATTGGGAGGGAGAAAAACCATAAGAGACTCTTAATCTCACAAGACAAACTGAGGGTTGCTGGAGGGAGAGGGGTAGGGAGAGGGCGGTGGGGTTATGGACATTGGGGAGGGTATGTGCTATGGTGAGTGCTGTGAAGTGTGTAAACCTGGTGATTCACAAACCTGTACCCCTGGGGCTAATAAGACATTATATGTTAATAAAAAATAAAATAAATAAATAAAGTGAAAATTGGTGTGACAGCAGACTTACTAGGGTCTGTCTGGGTGCATTTCTTAGCAGGCTTTGCTTTGCTGACAAATAACGGGAATTAGCATATGGTACTGGTTATTACAGTGGTACCATTTATTTAACCCCAAAGAGAATACAGTTTCTGTGTCCAAACACATCTCAGCTGACTGACAAACCCCAGCACCTTCCAAGCAGTATTATCTTCCCTAAATCTTAACAGGGTTTATGATCAAAGAAGCACAAATAGCTTTGTCTTCTAATAGAGATAAAAATCAAATTTTCAATTTTATCTCCAAGAATTGGAAATTACAAAATGTGTTCTCTTAAGTTCCATATAAATTGACTATTTGTTTATGTCCTACTTTTTAGGGTATAACATAGGCTCATGCAAAAAAATGTATCTGGTCCTTTTCCTGTTTTTAAATTATAAGTCTAAAAGGTTGTTTTTACTATAAATCAAGCTGTTATTCTAGAGATCCTCATAATATTTTCTTATGAAAGCTGAGTATTACAGAGCACTTAAAAGCACTAACTAAACTGATCCACTAAAGGAAATTTTACCCACCATTATTTGATATAACTTGAGGATATTAATGAGTCTTTTGTTAGAATAGAGTTTTGATTCTATACCTCTCATTCAGAAGTCAGCCCTACCCTGACTTCTGAATGAGATCAAAGTTTGTATGTTTATGAAACAAGTGAAAATATTTAATATTTTTGCAGAGGGATTATACTTTTCCTATTAAAACTATTCAATGTTATTAGCAGGTAATATATTACAAGTTATATTTTAAAATTACATAACCAAATTAGCATGTATAAATCTCAATAAGGGTTGGAAAAACTTAGGGACTTCACGGAGATTGAGTTGTGTATCTTATCTACAAAAGTATACAGATACGTGCAGAAATCCAGTAGGTGTACCTTATTGGATACCCATTCATTCATTCATTCATTCACTGGTTGTGCCCTAGGACTGTGCTAGCTCTCAAGAGGTAGAGATGATTAATACATGATTCTGGTTTTTTCAAAAGCCCTCAAGTAGAGCATTGTGAACTGATTTCAAAATAGAATGGTAATTATCTTTTGAAATGATATTTGGTCTTTCATTGAGTCATTCAAATGAGGGTGAGAACAATTACATTGTACCCATAGGCCTCTAATGGATCAAACATGTCACAATATATATATATATTACATATATATATATATATATATATATATGTAAATGCTTTATTCATAATATATAGCTTTTTGTAGTTTACAAATTGCATTTGAGTTATACATTTGTCAACAATCTTCTGCTTAGATCAAGTATGTATTAAAAGTCCCATTTATAAGCAAAAGAATTTGTAAAAATTTACATGCTAGAAACAATTGAGAAATGCTGAATCTGGGACTTCAATGCCAGTGCTCACTTTATAACAACTCATTGTTTCTCAAAAGCTAAGAGCCTCCTGATGATTCAGAATCCTGGGATTAAAATTCTCATGAAATACTGACTAGGCTAATATTATTTAGCCAAGAAGCTACATAAGTCTCAGTATAAATGCCACCTCTCCTGGGAAATCCCCCTTGATTAGACTGGTTAGGATTCTCTTTGACAAACTCTTACAATTATTACTATAACAAATTAACCACTTTTTTTTAAAGATTTTATTTATTTACTTGACAGACAGAGATCACAAGTAGGCAGAGAGGCAGGCAGAGAAAGAGAGAGAGAGAGAGAGGAGGAAGCAGGCTCCCTGCTGAGCAGAGAGGCTGATGATGGGTGGCTTTATCCCAGGACCCTGAGATCATGACCTGAGCCAAAGGCAAAGACTTTAACCCAATGAGCCACCCAGGTGCCCCAATTAACCACTTTTTTACAATTGTATTTGTATCCCATCTAAAACAATTTTACATACCCCACTTTGGGAAAGTCTAGTTAATTCACTAATTATTCCTTACCATCTTTCTTCCTGGGTACTATATAATAAATTTTGCCAGGATATACTCTCCTCATTTCCATATTTACAGTGCTTGCCATAGTGCCTGACAGACACATACTGGGTGTTCAGTTAGAAAGGGTTTAATAAATTAATATTTGCCTATATGTGAATACTATGTTTCTAGTGTGTGGTTGTATATATTTTCTTTTCTTATGAATAATAAGATGTTTGCCTATCTCCCAAGTTTTTGTACAAAATAATCATTTTCTTTTCACATTCACAGGATTATACCTTGACAATGTATTTCCAGCAAGCCTGGAGAGATAAGAGACTGTCCTATAATGTAATACCTTTAAACTTGACTCTGGACAACAGAGTGGCAGACCAGCTCTGGGTACCAGATACCTACTTCCTGAATGATAAGAAGTCATTTGTACATGGAGTGACTGTCAAGAACCGCATGATCCGCCTACATCCAGATGGGACGGTTCTTTATGGCCTCAGGTTTGTAGCATCCATTTCAAAATTGAATTTTTCCTGAATGAAATAGCTATTGATTTTTATTGGAGGACAATATTGTGCTGTTTTCCTTATTCCTCCCTCAATTCTATCATAAGCAGTTAAATCTCCTATCCAGTGGTCATCTGAGAGCTTAGGGGAACATGTTTACAAAGGGACTTAGCCTTAGCTAAGAATAAGTTTTTCTGAATTATTTTCTAGTATCAGCTGCTGATCCTAAAGCTGCTTTCTTTAAGGAGCAAGGATAAGCCATCAAAATAGTTGAGATATAGGGCTTCCTTAAAAGGGAAAAAAATTTTTGGATGCTGAATACTTGTTTGAGGATGGCAGATGCTCTGCTTCATAAATTGCTTGTAAGCTGCAGGAATTGGGTCTGGTCCTCTGACGACAGGAAGGCTTTTTGTGCCTTCTTACCCTCCAAGGAGCAACCAGACTTGCAAGTAAATAAAGTCATTATCCCACATTTATTAATAATAAATTTATACTATTCAATGTACTTTTATGTCCGAAAGTAATTGTGATGCTCTGCTGTTAAGGTGAGGCTGAATTGTAAAATAAGACAGCTGCTTCTTTTAAAGTTTATTTTGTATTAGAAGCAATAGCTGGTTTCCTGAAAGAAAACAGAGAAAAAAAGATAGTTATCTTACTCTGAGAAATTACATTATTACAATATAAAGGATTCCTCTGTGTTATCAGGAAGAAACTCTAAACTCTGAAACATTCAAATGTCTCTGATCAATTCTGTTTTGCATACATGTGTGCTTACCTTATTATTATAATGATGGTACTAACAATACTATTTTTCATTTTTTAGGGGTTAGGGGTCAGATATTGAGTTAAATGCTTTCCATGCATTGTTATAGTTGATCCTTACAACAACTTCATATGTTACAAATAGTTATGATCTTTATTTTTAAATGCAGAAACTGAGGCTCACATCTAAAATCACAAAGCAAGTTAGCTACAAAGATGAGATTTGAATTCAGATCCGAGTTCAGAACCACAGCTCTTAACCACTACACTGGGATGCTTCTCACTTCCACATATTTCTTGTCTGTCATGTCTTGTTTTCATTGTCTGATATAATGTGTGTCTGACTGGCACATTGTCTTGGGTGCTTATGAACCAGCTTTTTGGTTGATCATATTTTTAGAGAAAGTGGCATTTGGCTACCAAGGGAAAGTGGGTGAGGGTGAGGCATGGAGAAGGCATGTGTGTCCTCTGTCAGCCACTGGAGGTAAGCAGATGGATTGGATATGGGCAGGGCTCACATATGCGTGTCTTAGAAAAAAGAGAAACAGCAGAGAGAGAAATTGGCAATGTTGACAAAGATTCCACCGAAGTGGAGGACTTTGAAAGCACTAATGGAAAGAATCGTGTTAATGGATACATTGTACTAAACTTACCACTTGGAATGAACTATAAAACATTTAGAATCACAAAGACCTTGATGAGAGTGTGACCATGCAGGCTGTGGGGGAGATGGGGGTTCAAAAGAAGCTATAGTTCACACTTTTTAAGAGTTAAGCACAGAGAATGGTTAGAATCCTAAAGAAGGCAGAAGGAGGCATAGAAGTAATACCCACTCGGCAGTGAATGAGGAGGAGGACTGGCAAGTGGCAAGTTTTGGCTAAACACCAGACCCAGTGCTGGAGGCATTTGCTTAGCAAATCGCTTAATCTGCACAGCAGTCATGCAGAAATTACCCTGAGCTCTTCTCATTTCCGTGGAACACCCACCTTGAAAGCAGAGAACAAGCTGTATTCTCCTTGGTAGACCCAGGTCTGGCAAGACACCTACACCATAAATACGCTCAATAAAGGTGGTAATTCTGAATACATATATGCAAAGTTGAATGGATGGGAAAATCAACAATCAGGATGTTTTTGGAATTGAGAAGGAAAAGAGAGGACCAGTAGAGATGAAAAATATGGCTTCTTTATGTCATTATATAATCAGACAAAAACATCGATGACTGCTCATTCTTTTTATTTATTTATTTATTTATTTATTTATTTTGCTCATTCTTATTTTAAGCCCCATTATATGACACTGCTGTAACTAAAACTCACAACAATTGGAAATAAAGAATTTAAACACGTCTGACATGTAGGAAATTAACACTACTAGACAGAGAAGGCGCATGAATTATAATCATTCTATCAGTTGTATTGTTAATTCTGACTCTGAAATTGATAACAAGGTTTTTCAGGAAATTTATAAGTATCCTATTCCAGTTTTTACTAATCATGGAATGTTTTTTTCATTGCTAGAAATTTAATGCAGACCACATATTCTCTTCTCAACTCCAGGAGGTTCATTTGCAATGTGTAAATAAAAGGAATTTAATTAAAATTACCATTGCTAGGGTTGACATCACCTACTCTCTTTTCCTACTTACCCTTAAACTCCTCTCCCATTGATATCCACACACATTGGCAGGGACAAGGGGGCCAGAGAAGAGAGCATTCAGAGGATCTGAGCAAGCTTCTTTTGTAGGGTTTACTTTAGTGAAATGTTCAGGTATTAAAAAGTAAGAAGGAGAAAGTAGTATGCATTTTTAATGCCTGTTTAATTTTTCTTTTTGTTTTAGAAAGGGAGAAGGGGGTATGGCCTGAGGGAGAAGGAGAGAGAGAATCTTTTTTTTTTTTTTTAAGATTTTATTTATTTATTTGACAGACAGAGATCACAAGTAGAGAGGCAGGCAGAGAGAGAGAGGGAAGCAGGCTCCCTGCTGAGCAGAGAGCCCGATGCGGGACTCGATCCAAGGACCCTGAGATCATGACCTGAGCCAAAGGCAGCGGCTTAACCCACTGAGCCACCCAGGCGCCCCGAGAGAGAGAATCTTAAGCAGGCTTGATGCCCAGTGCAGAGCCCACTCGGTCTCAAAACCTTGAGATCGTGACCTGAGCCGAAATCAAGAATCAGACCCTTAGCCTACTGAGCCACCCAGGCACACCAATGCTAGTTTAATTTTGTCATTGGTATATAGGTGTTCATTGTGCTGTTCTTTCAATGTATCTGTAGGTATAGAAATTTTTATGATAAAATTTGGAAGAGGAAAAATGCTATGTTTCAGAGACCTAGGAATGTCTGATTCTAACATCCAGGAAATATCATTCAAGATTTAAGAGTCTATAGCCAAGAAAAGATCTTTCTAATCTCTTAGAGGTGGAGAATCTCCTATACATGACATCTACTTTCAGGAGCTATGTCTGAAAAGGAGGTCACCTCATCTCAAAGGGTGTGTGGCTCAGAGCATGGAGCCCATGACCATAGACAGCCAGGCTAAGCCATAACCCAGGAATGAGTGGTCAAAACCCTTCAGTTACAATCTTGATAACCTCTTTATGAAATCAGTTGTCCTCCTGCATGAGTGGCCCTATGTGTCTGACTGTACATAGCAGGAGCTCTGAGTATACTTACGCTGATATATTGTGTTTGGAAAGTAGGAGTTTTGAGGATGGCAGCATAGCAGCCACTCAGCAAGCTTGCATTAAGGTATAGTGGCTTTGAGGAGCTCAGGAAATGGAGATTGAGATTTAGAAACATGGAAAATGTTTTAGGTGCTACTGTTATGGGTAGGTTTTAATGGTTTTCATTCTGATTGGATTTTTGTTTCCCCATCACCAAAAGCACAAATTAGCAGCTTACTCTCCATTATCCCAGTGCTCCTCTGGTTGATAACTGTATTAGAGGTTCAGAGAACAAAGTTTTAATGTTGTTCAGATACATAAATGGACACAAGTAGTCAATGAAACTAATTTCCTTAACAAACCATAATGGTAATGAAACTAAGGTTTTAGTTTTGACTTTTGTAACAAACTTCTTTTTGAACCTTGAGTGTCTTATCCAGGTTTTAATTTCCTTGTATATAAAACAGAGGGGTAAATTAGATAATGCCAATGTTTTTACAACCCAGTCATCCTCTGAATCAATAATTAATGAATCTAAAAGACTATATAATCTTACATCAGTCTAGAAAATGAAATTATATAACTGGAGTAGCATAGTAACTGGCATATAATAAGTGTTCAGTGTTACTATTTAATGAATAAATGAATGTGGGGATATTTGAAGACAGGCAAAGGGAAGGCTTCACATATCAAGATGGCCATTTTATATTGTAGAATTTTACTTCAGTTATCTTTTCACAATTCAGCTAAGTAAGACACTAGGTTCATTGTGTAGAGCCAGCAAAGTGAGCAAGTGGATTAAAGAGAATGCGAAACATCTAGCCCAGGGTTATCTAGAGTGAAAAAGGGAATGACGAAAGAAAATGTGTACTGGAGTCGATGAACTCAAGCCATTGCATTTGACAGCACACAATCTGAAGCAAGAAAAATGGATGCCTGGCTTGAGGCCCAGGTGGCATGACCACCTGTAAATCTGCCTGTAGCCCCAGCCCAGGGCCTGGCTTGTAGTGTGCACACAGTAATTATTTAATCCAGTATTGTGCGATTTCTCAAAAAGACTTTCCTTTTCCTCGTGTTTCATTGTATGTCTATTTTCTCTGTGGGATACAGGGACACCTGGGTGGCTCAGTCGGTTAAGCGTCTGCCTTCGGCTTGAGTCATGATCCCAGGGTGCTGGGATGGAGTCCCACATCAGGCTCCTTGCTCGGCAGGGGAGTCTGCTTCTCCCTCTACCTGCTACTCCCCCACTGCTTGTACTCTCGCTTGCTCTCTCCCTGTCAAATAAATAAATAAATAATACCTTTTAAAAAATCTATGGGATACAGGAATAATAAACCAAAGTTATGAATAATGCCTTTTTGAAACTCAAATTTATAGTTTATGGCTAAAGAATAATGAAATCTTTGAATATAGATTCTCACCTTCACTCTTGACTGGTTGATAGCTCAATTACACCAATTTGATCGTAAAATCAAATACCTCTTGTCTTTAACAATGTTATTTAGAGATTTCTGTCAGGAGATATAGCTGGAGGAAGAAGAATACTTTCTCAGGAGTAACCCAGCTGGA